CCAAATAAAGTTAAATTAGAACCAATTAATCGTTCACAATTAATAATTAAATCATCAAATATTGATGATCAAAAACCAGTAAATATGTCAAAAAAAGAAAATTCAAATGATATTGATGATGATGAAGAAAATAATGATGATGATGATGTTGATGAAGAAGATGAAGTGGAAAATCATCATCAATCAACACATAATTTACTTACGAATGTACCATCACCTGTTCATGCTTAAACAACAACAACAACAACAAAAAAAATACACAACCTAGTCATTTGTTTGTTTTTGTTTTTTTGGAAAAAAAAAATATTTCAGTGAGTTTTTCTTTTCTTTTATTCGAACAGTATTTGCAAAGAAGAAAACGAATAATCAAAATAAGATTGAGAATGAACAGCCAAGCAAGTCTTTCTTTTGTGATTGATGTTTTTTCTTTTTTTTTTTTTTCTTGTCGTGAGTTTTGTAGCGCAATATCATAATGTATTATTTTATTTGTTGTTTGTTTCGTTTAATTGTTGTTTGAAAATGACGCAATTGTATATTTATTTTCTCTCTTTCTCTCGTTTGCCTAGGTGAATAAGAAATGAACTGTATTTCATATTCGAATTGTCGTGTGTTCTGGTCATTTGTTTTCTTTTTCTTTTTTTTTTTGTGAATGATTTAGTGTATTCATTATGGGGCAGCGATTTTGTTTTTTCTTAAAGAAACGCGAATATACATCCTAGTCGATGCATATAAGTGTTATGAAAGGGAGAGAGACAGAGAGAGACTATTTGAGTTATCTATGTTTGCATTTTGTCTGGGTTTCTTTTTTTTTTTTTGTTTTTTTGTTTAAATGGAAATGGAATCAGAATACCTTATATGTGTATTTGTTATCTTTCTTTGCTGTTTCGTATATATATATATATATATCTATATATACATATATAAAAACAAAATGATGACATCAATATGACTTTATAATTACTATTGAAAATTAAGGTTTGCATTTAGTATCGAAATGCAATGTCATTTATTAATAGATTCTAAATGAATATTTACTTAGGTTATTGATTTTCAAAGATTAAAAAAAGTATTATTCAATATAACTTCAACATTGGTAAGAAACAAATCAATTTGAAATTTTATATTGATTTAATGCCATGAAAAAGAATATGCGACCTTGAATATATGGTAATTCTAAGTTAAATATTTTTTTTTTTTTATCAATATGTACAATATTTTGTATAGTAAAAATCATGAAAGATCTCAATTGTTTTATGATTTTGTAACAATTGGCACAATAATGATTTACATAGGAGATATTCCATTGAATAATTTATGCTTTCTCTAATCAGTCGAACACTTGACTAGATATGTATATATTGATCTATGATAAAATTCATTTAGAAAAAGAAAATAAATTATCGTTTCTATTTCAAATTAGTCAATCATCTCTAATAATACTACTACCTTAACAATAGAAGGTTAATCAATGTGTAAAAAAAATCTTATGTCTCTTTTTTTTTAAAGGTATTATTAACGAATATTTTTTGTCATGTTTTTTTTTTCAAATATCAGTACTACAATAACCTTGAATAGGAAAATTTTCTTTTTAATATTGATTCATTCTTAAACTGATCTAAAATATTCATTAAATATCATATCACATATAACGCATAAGCGACAAAAAAAGAAAAAGAAAGAAGGAACAAAAGAAGATTCCTAGTCATCACGTATTTGTCTCTGGAACTAAATGTCGATGATCATCATCATGATTTAATGCATCAAATTGTCGTGGTCTTGGTAAAACAGGTGATATTGATAAATGATGTTGATTAGATTTTCTTATGATCATTTCTTGATCAGAATTTATATGTTCACGTTCATAAATTGTACAAAAATGTTTATATAAATTATCAACAATTTCACCAACAATAATATCTTGTCCATTACGTGCAAGTAGACGAAGTGCAAAACAACCATCTTCTTGTAAATAATCACGAACAAATGCTTTACTACGAATTTTTTCATTTAATTTCATTTGTTCTGAATTCATATATTCATCAATAGGTTCATGCATTAATGCACGATTCATAGCTAATTTTCTTCGTACATATACTGTACGACTATCAATACGTATAATACGTAATAACCATGATATAAAATCAACAATATTAAAAGCTGCTAAAAGTAAAATCCAAAACCAAAGTATAAGAAAAATTTTTTCATTAAATAAATTTATTGGTAAAACACATTGTACTGTATATCGATGTATAATACCTATTTCACGTATATGAAAATCACATAATGTAACACGTGGAAATCGTTTTGATTCACCCCAATCAAGACCACGAATAAATTTTGTAATAACTTCAAAACCAAATAAATGATAATCATTACCCAAAAAAGAATTTAAAAGAAATATTTGTACTAATGAATTAAATAGAAATAAAAATTTAACAAATGTAAATAATAAAACTATAAATGAACTTAAATGACGATGACGCCAAAATGTTAAAGAATAAAAAAATTTTTGTAGAAAATTTTTTGGATGATAATTAGATGTTTTTGAATTTGTATAACGATTTTCAATATAGACACGTATAGAATTTGAAATATATTCAATTGTTTTTTTACGTTCTTCAATTTGATCAGCTTGTTGTTCGTGTTTTAAAGCTGCAGCAACTAATTTGTCAATATCTAAACCAGATTTATTATTTAATGATCTCCAAAGCATACGTGGAAAATAAAAACATAAAGCCATAAATAGAAGAATAAATGGTGACCATTGATAATATTTTAACATACCTATATTAAATATATAAAATAATTCAGCATAAAAAAAAAAGCAAAAACTAACGTTCATATCGTGTTGTTTCAGCATGTGGAATATCATGATCCATAGGTACATAATATGTATTCATTATCCAACATATATCATTAGCATATTTTTCATAACCACCAGTAAATTGTGCAGGTACCTAAAATAAATCATAATACAAAAACTACATGAATTATATAGAAAATATTTTACCCAACATGTTATAGGTGAACCAAAATATTGTTGAGTTGTAACAATAGCAGCAAAAACTAAAATCATTGTTACTGTATATCTATGATTGAGTCGATCAATAAATACATCATCATTGTTTATTGAATGATGTTTTCCAGCATTTAATTTTGTTGCAAAACCCAATATATCCATAATAATATAATTCGTTCAATAAATTATTTTAATAAAAAAAAAAAAACTAAAAATAACTTTTTAATTTTTTTATGATGATTATTATTTTAGTATAGATTTCTTCTTTTCTTTTTTTTGCTATCATATTAAATCAAGGCTTACTATCACCGTTGTACTTTGTTTCTCATCATAAAGAACAAGTCAATGCCATTCTTTATTCTTTATTCTTTTCTTTCTTATTCTTTACACTTTACGATTACCTTATTTTGGTTGAAAAAAAAGACAACGAAAGATGATCATATCATACGTAGATTTTTTGTATTAATGATTACATCACATTCAATTACACTTTTGTCTCTTACTACTATTCACAATGTACATGTTTACTTTGGAATTTAGGATGTCAAACCGCAACATACCGAAAAGACTACATATTATAAATTCACCCTTCACATTTCAATACTAACATGTTTAATCTGTATACTATACATCATCATCAAATTTGAACAACCCATTTTCTTCTGTGTTTTTTTTCCGAGTCACTCACCTTGTGTCTATTAAAATATAATATAGACTTATTGATCAACCTTCTTTTTCAAGAGTTTATAATATGATAAACAACGAAAATAATCTTTTATGATCTGTACATAGTGAATGAATATATGAGCATACAAAACATTAAAATGTCCTCATACTTTACAGAAAAAAAAACAAAATATAACCACAAACCACCGAAGTATTTGTTAGATGCATATCGAATGCATATACTCAAAGCAAATAGACAAATTCGAAAAAAAAAAAAACTCAAATAACAGAGAAACCAAGAAAAAAAGACGAAACATCCTTTCTCTTTTCTTTTTTTTTTGTCATCAATCGATAAACTAAAAAAAAAACAAAAAAAAAATAAGAACAGCCTATATTATACTCAAAAGATAAAGTTGAAAGACAGGACAAATTGACGATGACAAGAATGAATGTATATTTGCAGTCAAGCACATCATATATTTCGTTAAAGACGTATGGATTAAATTACATATAAAAATCCTTTGTCGATCTATTTGCCTATGAAGAAAAACGATCTTTTCTTCCTTTAAAAAATGCGAAGGTGATTCGTTTTTTTTTTATTTTGACAAAAAAGAAAGAAGAGATACATTACTTCGTATAATACACTTGTATTTATTATAATGAGTATTATTAGCAAGGACTATTACTATATAGAAGAAAATTTGAATCTCAAGAACTTTATTCAATGCAAATATCAACAAATCAATTCTATTGAATGATTGAAACATGAATTATTCTCTATTAAATGTCATGGAAGTCTTTGAATAAATGTCGAAGCTCATTTTTCAGTTAAACCAAATTCAAATTAATTCTAATACTATTTTATAAAGTTTGAATAATTAAAAACAATAGAATGAATATGATTCGAACAACAACAATTCATAGAAAGTTACTAATTGATCAAGAAAAAAAAAGAGCAGAACTATTCTTTTTTTTTTTTTTTTTTATTCATTATAAGCGTATCTATCGAATTATCTTATCAGATAAAAAAAAAAAAATTGTTACTTAGTATAATCTCGTATTGATAATAAACTCTTTTATTGTCTTAAATTAAATCCTAATCTTTGTTGACTTTCAATGATATTGTATATCCATCAAAAAAACAAAAAATAACATATGAACTAAAATAAAAATCAAAGTATTTGGTATATCAAACAGGAAATAATTTCAATAAATAATTCAGATAGAAATATATATTAATTAGTCTAAAATTGATTATCGATTATAACCTTCGATATGATTTTGTTCATTGAAGAAATAAGAAAAGAAACTTGTCATGTATAAAGAAAATAAGCATAACATTTTTTTTGAAACAGCAAAATTTGGTCATAGAACATTTTGTCTAATTGGAAAATTACAATTATATGTATAGAATAACCTTTATATTATAGATTGTTGAGCTTTTCATGCCACACTCTATGATAGTATTTTATTTTTTAATAAAACATATTAGATGATGAAAAAGTAAAATATAAAACACCACCATTCACTATGATCCACCTGTTCTACGGAGTTGAAAAAGAACACATATGAGTTTCACTTTTTTTTCTTTTTCTACTATTATGACATAGTTAATTGAAAAAGTTAACATTAATTCTATTGTTTCCGGTGTAAAATATTGCAATCAAAATACCAAAAAAAAAAATTGAATTTTACATCAACTAATTTTTATTAATATGTTGTAAAAACATCACAGGTCGAGAAAAGAAGAATATAGTATGATAGATAATCATCATCTAACTTGCTAGTATTGACTAAAAATTCGAAAGTCTACATTGTTTGCTAGTTTGTGTGCATATTTTGTTTCACAGCGAACATCTAGATTATTCAATGGACCATCAAATGTTTTAAGAAAGAAACAGCTTTTAAAGAAATATTATTTCTTTGGTATTTTATATTACATCTTGATATAGTTCAGAGTAAATCTAATGTAA